GACAATGTTTCAGAGGGGACAATGTTTCAGAGGGGATGATGTTTCAGAGGGGACGATGTTTCAGAGGGGACAGTCTGTTAAAGGGGAACAGGATGGTGCTGATCCTGGACTCAGGGGGTTTCAGATCAGGGACAGACATCGGAGTCCTTCCTGAGTTAACTCGGCTCACAGTTACGTCCCATTTGTCCTCTGCGTGAGACAAAGACAAAACGAGGGACGTGTTATTCTGTTTCATAAAACCAAGAATGAAATATTCAGAATCAATCTGTGACGGTCTGAAGACCAGGGACAGTGAAAGACTAAATGTCCATTTATTGAGCTGAACACGCCCTCTCAGTACCAGGACGTCCTGGTCCGGTCACTGGTTTGGGATCGGTGAAGGATCAGCTGATCCGTTGCTGACCTACAGTCGTGGTTTGACGTTAGTCGAGCCGCAGAACGACCGCGGACGGTTTTATGTTTTTAATCGTCTTTTATGAGTTTAAGGCACGAAGACGGTCGTGAGTTTAACTTTAGCTGTTTAGATTTTGTTTTTTCTTTGAGTCAACGAGACAAAAACAGGAAGAGGGAACTCTCTGCACATTTCACTCCAAATAAATAAAAACTTTTCTTCTAGGAAACCACGAGTTCAAACGTTTGGAGTTGCAGAATGTGACAAATTAAATCTAACGTCTCGTGTATTCAGTTAGATCTCAGCGCTGTCGGAGATTTGTTTTTGTTTTGAGACGAGTTAAGATGAAGATGATTTGTGTCGTCTCAAAATCCTCGTCAGCAATTTTAAAATTTAATAAAATTAAAAGTAAGAAAATAATTTAAAAAAAAGTTTATTCTCGGTAAGATGTTATTTACACAGATTCATTTAATGAACCAATGTCAAAATAAAACCTCTGAGACCCTCTGGAAAACTGATGGTCCAGACCAGGTCCAGACCAGGTCCAGGTAACAGACTCCAGGAGAGTCTGGATCCTTGGAGGTTCCATTAACTGGATCTTTAGGACCGTCCTGACTTCGTGAGCCTCAGCTTCCTCACCCTTCGTATTTAAGACTCCCTCTCTGAGGACACGTCCCCCTCGGCCCCGCTGCTGGCGTTTGGGTCCTGTTTGGACCGCGGGCCCCCCTTGTCCCGCCCGGACTCTGAGGGTCCTTTGTGGCGCGTCTTCTCTTTCCTCTGCTGCTGCTTCTCCTGCTTCGATAGCTGCGAAAACACAAACACACAATTTACACACGCTTATCACGTCCACCTTTAACTGTCCAACGCATGTCGGACAGAGGACAGACAGAGGACAGACAGACAGAAGATAGACAGAGGACAGAAGACAGACAGAGGACAGACAGACAGACAGAGGGCAGACAGACAGAGGACAGAAGACAGACAGAGGACAGACAGACAGAGGGCAGACAGACAGACAGAGTGCAGACAGACAGAGGACAGACAGACAGAGGACAGACAGACAGA